TCTTCTGTGTTTCAATGTTTCTGTTAGTCATTTGTCAGTCTTAATTTTGTTCTTATAATATTTTGTTTTCTCTCTGACATATTTTAAGATGTTTTCTATTCCATTTAGGAGTTTTACTCTGATATGCAATGGTATAGTTTTCCATACAAGTTCGTAGTGCTTCTTGAGTATGTGACATTTCAAGTCTGTGTCATTTGTTTTTAAAAATTATTTGCTGTTCCATCTTACGATGTTGCTTCTATTCCATTTATTATACCTATTCTCCTAGAGCTCCAATTATATGTATGTTAAACCTTTTACAATGTTGCATATGCACCTTATTCTCTTTCATATAGTTTATAATCCTTCTGTTTCTCAGTGGTTCAGTCTCTATCTTTACTTCTGACCTATCTTCCACTTTCTTATTTCCCATTTCAGTTGTGTCTTGTTTGCTCTTAAAGCTATTTATTGATTTGCTAATTTTAGTTACTACAATTTACAGTTATAGTATGTCCATTTTATTGTTTTTTACTCTACTAAAGATGTCCACCTTCTCATTAAATTTATTAATCATATTAGATTACTAAAAATGATAACATAGATCTTTGTAAATCTGTTTCTATTGATTGTATCTGTCTCTTGGTTTCTCAATTAATTGATTTGGTTTTTGAAATATTTTTTATTGCAACTATATATATATTGCTTATAACATTTGCCATTTTAGTGATTTTAAGTGTACAATTCAGTGTCATTACTTATATTCACAATATTATATAGTCATGGCCACTATCTCTTTCCAAAACTTTTTCATCACCCCAAATACAAACTTGGTACCCATTAAACAGGATGACCCATTTCTCCCTACCCTCAGCCACTGGAAACCTCTAATATAGTTTCTATGTTTATTAATTTGCCTAGTCTGCATAATTCATATAAGTGGAATCGTACAATGTTTGTCCCTTTCTGTTTGGCTTATTTTAATTAGCATATTTTTCAAGGTTCATGCATGTTGTAGCATGTATCAGAACTTCATTCCTTTTTATTGCTAAACAATCTACTGTGTGTATATGTATTCATTTCTTTTTTTTTTCCTTTTTTAAAATTCAAGATATTATGGGGGTACAAACATTTTGGATACATGAAACACATTTCATGTATTTATTTATTGATGGTCACTTTGGTTGTTTCCACTTATTATCTATTACAAAAAACACTGCAACAAACATTTGCAGACAAATATCTATTTGAATCACTGTTTTCTATTCCTTTGGGTTTATACTTAGTGGAAATGCTGGATTATACTGAAATGGTGTTTAGCCTTTTGAGGAACTACCAAGGTGTTTTCCACTAGTGGCACACTAATGTGTGATGGGTACAATTTCTCCAAATCCTCAGCAACAATTCTTCATTACAAAAAAATTATAGCCAATGTAGTATGTGTGAAGTGGCATCTAATTGTGGTTTTGATTTGCACTTCCCTAATTACTAATGATGTTAGGCATTCTTTTATGTGTTTATTAGTCACTTGCATATCGTATTTGAAGAAATGACTGTTCAAGTCCTTTCTATATTTTATTTTTTATTTTCAAAAGATTAGGAGGCACAAGTGTTTTTTGTTATGTGGTAAATTGTATCATGCTAAAATCAGGGCACTCAGTGTACATATCACCAGAATAGTGTACATTGTACATGACAGGTAGATTTTTCTCGCTTACCCCACGATCCTTCCCCTTCTTAGATTCCAATGTCCATTATTGCACTTTATGATTATATATCCTTTGCTTAACTCCCACATGTAAATTAGAACATGTGGTATATGTTTTTCCATTCCTGAGATTCTTAACTTAGAATAATAGTCTCCAGTTTAATCCAAGGTGTTGCAAAAGACATTATTTCATTACTTTTTATAGCTGAGTAGTCCTCCATGGTATGTATGTACACATTTTCTTTATCCACTCATCGGGTGATGCAAACTTATGTATATTCCACATCTTTGCTATTGTGAATTATGCCAAGATAAACATTTGGGTACAGGTGTCATTTTTATCAAATGTCTTCTTTTCCCTTGGGTAGATAACCAGTAGTGGGATTGTTGGATTGAATGGTACATATACTTTTAGTTCTTCAAGGAAACTCCATACTGCTATACATAAAAGTTGTACAAGTTTACATCTCCACCAATAGTGTATAAATGTTCTTTTCACTGCAACCACACCAATATCTATTGTTTTTGACTTTTTAATAATGACAATTCTGACAAGAGTAAGGTGGTTTTCTATTGTGGTTTTAATTTACATTTCCCTGGCGATAGGTGATACCGAGCATTTTTTCACATTTGTTGGGCGTTTGTATATCTTCTTTTGAGAAGAATCTGTTCGTGTATTTTGCCTTCTTTTTCATGAGGTTATTTGTTTTTTCTTGATAATTTGAGTTTCTTGTAGATCCTGGATAGTAACCCTTTGTCAGATATGTAAAATGAAATACAATCTTAAGCCCTTCACCCCCAGCTGACTGACTGGACCTTTTCTTGGCCAAGGGATCCCAGAAATACCCCAAATCTGAGATGCTGGCCATGAGAAGGGGAGTCAGACACACCTCATCATGGCTCACTCCTTTCTTGTAGATATACTTTGTCACTCATTAAAAGTCTTAAGGCTATGCAAGACAAGCCTATAGGTCCGCAATTTACATAACAAATCACTTCAGTTTGGATATATAGGCTGTGGCTTGTCTCTGATTAACAGACTTCCTTATTTTAACTTAAAACATTCCAAACCTTTAGGCAAAGCTTCATTTTCTTTAACCAATTACAAATCAAATAATCTTTAAACCTATCTATAACCTATAAGCCCCCACTTCGAGATGCCTCACTTTTTCTGGCCAAACCAACATATTATGCCTTCCATGTCTTGATTTAAGACTTATCCTGTATTTCCTGTCTCCCTGAAATGTATAAAACCACAATGTAATCCAATCACAGTGAGTCCACTTGGTCAAGGCTTCTTGGGCATAGTTTTGGGCCATGTTCCTCAAATTTGGCTCAGAAAAAAACCTCTTTAAGTTATTTTACAGAGCTTGACTCATTTTTGGTGAAAGATGTATAATTAGTGAATATTTTCTCCCATTCTGTAAATTGTGTATTTACTCTGTTGATTATTTTCTTTGCTGTGCAGAAACCTTTTACTTTAACCACTTTGGTACTGTGCTCACCAGCTGCGAAACCTTCCCCACAGCTGGCACTCATAGTCCACGCGATAGTTTGTGCTGTGCATTGACGACGAATCCGTTTTGCTCTTCTGTGTTGAGGAAAGCTTTAAAGCACTGAAAGCTTGTTTTACTTTACAGGCAGCTTTACTTGTAATGTAAATCAGAATAGGTAACATATACATACATGTTTTCATTACATTATTTTTAAATGTTCATAATTTTATTTTGATAAATGAAAAATCAGAAAAGTCATATCACGGCTGTCGGCTAAATTCGATGCTCGGTTGTGCGCTTTCAAATCACAGCTGTCAGCTAAAGTCGCCATGCGCGTTCATCTGTGGCTATTGACTAAAGTCCATGCTGGTACCGAAGTGGTTAATTAAGTCTGATTATTTATTTTTCTATCTTGTCTAGACTTTCTAGTTTTTCTTGGTGAAATGGTTGGTTTAATAAGAATCTTGAGTGACTTTGCCTGAAGTAGCAGCCTAACTCTCAGGATTGTCATGAGACATAAAATTTTCTATGAGCCCTTTTTTTTTTTGCCACAGTAAAACAAGAAATGGCAGGGGCCAAGTTGAGAGGAGGGTCCCTAGAGCCAAGAACTTTGCATATTAATGCAGAAAATATTTGGAGTTCAGTTACCCACATTATTGCTGGTCTTGTTATATTCACTCTCACCTAAAGTAGAAGTTTCAACCAGTTAACAGGCTTAAAGTGAGGATTTGAGGATTAAATTAGTTATTATATACAGCCCTTACAATAGTGCCTGGCAAGTAGTAACCATATATAAGTATTAGCTATTATTACTGATATTCCCACATATAACCAGGTTATGAACTAATTTCTGGTAAGCAAATACAATTCACAGGACACAATACCTGTGGTAATGAATACTGTTTCAAGATTTCTCAGTATGTTTAAACATCATCAAATATTTATTAAATCACTTCTGTACAAACACTATCTTGAACAATCTTAATAGAAAATTATATAAGATACCACTTCTCTCAAGATGCTTAAAATCTACATGATATATACATTAAAATTTAAATATTACTTATTTAAATATCTCATTATTCTATAAAATTTTAAGGGAAAGAATTCTCTCTTATTAATGTATCTTCCCTGAAGCCTAGTACATGTATCTGCACAAATGATTATGGGATTTAAACAATCTTACAAAGCATCATATGCTAAATTCTATGAAACAGAAACTACAAAAGAAGGAGGATTCACCTTGTTTGATTGATGGATGAATGAATATATAAATGGTAGCTTAATGAATGAAATAACTAGTCCTTAAAAGAAGTATCCTATTTAGATAAGGGGAAAAGTCAGAGTAGTAAATTCTAGGTGGAAGAGATAGCATGATGAAAAGCATAAACGTTGAAATATACACAAAACATTTAAGGATGAATAAAACAGCTCAATGGTAGTATAGGGGTCACATACAATCAAAGGATAATAATAAATTATTTGGGACTAAGGAGGGCCTTGAAAACCAATTAATAAAGTTTAGACAATGTTCAATAGATAACAGCAACTATTTTGAAGCTTTGCAATCAGCTCAATAGTTATTTTAAAACAATGCAGCAGTAATAGTAAATTCTGATTCAACAGAAAAGAGATTTCAGGTGACAACAGTATTTGTTGCCTATAAACTTATTTTATATGGTCCTGAATTTCAGTGTTTGCAATGGAAATGGTAAAAAGAGAAAGGTTGTATAGGCATTACTGATAATAAACTTATAGGACTTGATAACTAAATGCATATAAGGAAGTATGGAGAACAGCACAACAAAAGAATGTCTTACCTGTTCAGAGAAATGTTTCAGTAATGTTATATGTTTAATGAGGTGGTTTTTCAGACTGGAAAATTCTGACATGCAATCAAATGGAGGCCTGCCAGAGAAGGATGACAAGAGATTCCATCAATCTGAATTTCATTGAATTAACATATCTTTATACCTCAGAAAATTGAAAATTATAATCTACAATATAGAGAGCTTTAGATTAAAGGTACCAATAGATAGCTAACTTTAAAACATTATAATATCATATCAAAAAGTAACATAACTATTATATGAAAGATGATAAATGTAATATTTCTATGGTCTCAATAAACTGGCAGGTGGTAGGAACACAATTTGCAGTAGTTACTCCTGTTTTCAAATTAATATAAAATGGTGGATGGCACAGTAGATCTCTTTTTATTTTTTCTTAAGTTCCTTACTGTACAAATAATTACATGAAAAAGAATAAAAGGAGGCAAAAAGAGAGTCAAATATTAATTAACTATATAATCAATGAGTGGATTATCTTATTTCTTGAAAAATAAAGATTGGCAGTTATCTGGTAATTCATTTTGTTTGCCACAAATAAAAAAAAGTATTTTATTATGACACTATAACTAATTTAAAGTTTGGGCTTTATTAATTTTATCTAGCATGATTTTTAGTCTTCTGTGGTTTCAGGGACCTGTAATCACAAGTAGATATTTGAATGAGGTGATAAAACCTACATTGTCTTGTGGGAACATGATCACCTACTTCATCTGCACTATTAAGGATATTTTAAAAAATGGGGAGCCACTTTTTATAACATCATTTGTAAAATAAATTAGAAGCACCAGAGTGCTGAACCCATATTTACTTTCACAAGGTAAATAAAATTTTATTTTTAGGAATTAGCAAGAATAAGTCATTTGTAAGCCCCTTCCTCCAAAATTCCCAGGAGATTACAACATCTCGTGTTTGCATGAAAGTGTCACTCTCTGGATGTCTACTTTTAAAGAACATAATATGGGCAATGATTCAAATTACTTCTCATAATTAAGCTTATAAACTTGTGTGGTAAAATTGGCTGCCAGCATCCACAGGAAATGTGTAACTCTGTCCATGGTATGAAAAATGCGAGGAAAATTCTTTGGGAAGTTTTTCCCTTCTCATCTATGTCTAGACCAAAAAGTTATGAGCAAATAGCCAAGGAAACATTGACCTACTTTTTAAAAGTGGAGCCTACCCCTATCATCCTACCCTATCTCTTAATTTTTGACATGAAAAATGCTCAATTTATATTTCCTTACAAGTATAATCTTAGTTAGTTATACTTAGTTATGTGATCTTGAGTTACTATATCACCTCCACTGAATTTTGTCATAAATTCTCTTTACCTCAAATCAGTAAGCCATTTCAAATTTTAATGACTAATAGAAATAAAACATTGAGGAAAATCGTTGTCAACTGACTCTAAATTTCCATCTAATACCATGGTTAAGATCCTCTAAAAGCCCATAACCTCTATAGTAAACCTTAAAATGTACCTCTGTTACTAATAAAGCAGCATTTATATAAAGCTCTATTGTGTATATAGAAGCTTATAGTACTTGTAAAGTCACTCTTTTGTACACTGTAGTTCAGTCGAGAAAGTTCTAATAACTCATTATAAAGGCTATATATATTAGTAATATACAAAAAGGGAACAGGAAACTCCTCCTAGGAAGAGAACAGAAATAAGTTTTTCCCTTTTATTGATGAGACATTTTGAATTAAACTCCTGAAACAATTTCAATTCTCAAAAATAATTATTATATCTATTAACAAGATGATTTACCAGATTTATATATTCTTTTTTAATAAAGCTGAAATAATTTTTAGGCCTGAAATCAGAAACTTGATTAAACAAGGCTGAACCAGGTCAAATGATAGCTTGAATCACAATTTGAAAAAAAAAAAATCTAACAATGGAAAATCTACATTTAACAGCATCTTTCCCATGTTTTGTGTTAGAAACATAGAGATGAGGCCAATTTTAGGATAAATCACAGAAATAACTTTCCCCTGAAGCATAATGATTCAATTTCAGAGAGAAAAGAAGGGGAAATTCCTCTAGTTGATACTCAAACTAGATAATTTTTTTAGGGAAAATTTTATTATTGTATAGGAAATTCAATTTGGCTGAGCCCTAAACATTCTAAAATTCATGTTGATATCTTCTCAGAAACAAATCTGATGAGTCTCTGATACAAATCTCAAAGCATACAAAGTTTCATAGGAGGTCTTTGTAGAATCAGAAGTAGTTAAAGCAAAGGAATTGAAAAGTTTATTAAAAAACATGCCCAGTACAAAACATGCTATTGTGATTTTTGATGTGTTTCATTCATAATGTTTTGGTATTTAAAGATCATATTTAAAGTGATCAATGAGTTTTCAACTTAGTTAAAAGGTTATTCAATATGAATACCCCTTATTTGGTGGCATTAGTTGTTAAGCAAGGACTATGAGAATCTATAGTGTTTTAAATTAAAGTTTAAAATCTTCAAACAGAAAAGATTCTAAGACAATTCATAAATTTGTCATATTTGAAAGCTGCTATATGAGATAATTTTGTATACATTATCTCATTTCTGAAAGATGAATCTGATGTATTGCCTTAATGACTACTTACTATAAAATACAGCAGGATAAATATTAATTTTACTTGGTTCCACTGATGAGAGCAAAGAAGCCCTCAAATTGAGGAATTTAGTGAAATTGTGCCACCAAAGAGTACTTCTTAATACTGATACCATGATGGGAATTTTTTAATGAGATTAATTTGATAAAATGAGAAAATCTAATACTGTAAATTATCAAATATCAGTGAAGCAGATATTCATTTCAGGGGTGTCCTCTTTGTTGCCACTAAATTTTGTGGCTGTCTTTGTTGTATGCCTCTGATATCTCTTTCCTTATTTTTCTCCTTAAGTTGAGCTTATTCAAATGATCCAATTTGCTTGCTTTTTTATTGTGGTTTCCAGACTTTCCTTGTTTCAGCTTGTTATCAGATAGATATTAGCAAGGAGCTCAGAGAAAACGGGAGTAGAGGAAATGAGGAATTTACTAAATTTCCTTTAATATTCAATTTGAAATTTCTTTGAACAAATGGGTAAGTCACTTGATCCCTTTTTATGTGAACAAATGAATTTGCCAATCAAGTATTAGTTCTAATAAAAAAGAGATAATAATGGATCATTAAGAGAGCAGGTAACAAGGAAATATAAAGAAAAGTATCGTGGCTTCCCCCCTCACAATGACTTTTCTCATTGAGTATAAAAGCATGCTTCCCTCTGTCACTGTCTAACATCTCTTATCTTTGGGATGCAATACTTAGCAGAAGCAAAAGTCCTAGGAATTAAGTATTCATATAATGCCTCATTTGCATGTAGAATTAAGAGTTGATCATAGTCTTTGATCAAAACAATTAGGAGATAGAAATATTATTATGTTACTTAAAAGTTATTATCAAAGCAAGATTAGAAATTATTTGTCTTTGATTTTCACAGCCTTCTCTTAGTAACACAGGGTTTTAAAAACAAGACTAATTCTTAACTAAAAACCTCTAATTTAATTAATATACAAAGAAAATAAAACTATTTTGTGGTAAAGAATACAGATGTGGTAATTTAGAACATTAGGGTAAGTTTTGTGCACTCCTAAAAGACTGTAGAGAAACAAGTGTTTTTTTCAAATCTTAATACAACAGTGGAGTTTATTTTATAAAGGAAAATAAAAAGGAATCCTTTGTAAAAGAAATATTATTTTGTAAAATATTTTTTTTCTATAAGAGGCAAATCAAATATTGATTTATTTAAAGGGAACTCTATTATTATGCTGTATATCTAGGGAGATATTCACAGCATCAATAAAATATCTATGAACATATTTGAAAGAAACTGTGGAAATAAAATCCAGTCCACACATAAAGTTTCTGAAGAAAAAGAAAGAGGGAAATATGCTATTATCTCAGGGATTTAAAGATTAAATATTAAGAATTACCTTTCCAGAATGCTTAGTATCATCTTGACCATATTAATCAATTCTAGTGCAGCTGTAAGAATATTATGAGGAGGTTGTTCATTAATGCCATGTAGACTGCGCACCCTTCTTCTTTCCGATATCATGACAAGAACACGGTCAATAGCATGCTCAAGATGTTCACTTTGTTTTACGAATCTGGTAGGCATCCTTTTATCATTCTGAAATTAAAGTAGGAGTTTTGAGGCAATAAATGAGGCAGCACTTATCTAACAAACTATAAATACAGAACAGGTTCAACACCAACATCATTAGGCAAAGTAATATAAGAGGGATGCAAAATTACCATCAAGCACTTTTCATTCTTTACATATTTTTTTGGTAATACTTATGTCACTTGTGGTAGTTATTACATAAATTGCGTGAAAAGAATAAGGTTTAGCCATGGGAATACTGATATGTATAATTTTAGAATATGGCAAAAACTACTTGCTTAAAATTAGGACGTGTTAATTGTGATACTACCTTATTAATACATCCACCTTGTTTCCTTTCTAAAGTATAATCTTTTCAATAAAGAACTCATAATACTTTGTATTTTGAATAGAATTGGGTATAGATCTAAGACAGGAAAGGACATTCTTACTTTTCATTTATTTCAGAGCACTGGAAACTGTGTATTTTCCTTTCCGAGAGTTGGTAATTTAAACATACATGGGCTGTAAGATTCTTGATTGGGTACTGGCATTTAAATAGACTTCTCTCATTTATCTGCTTCCTCTTTGCATTACCATGTATAAACATACTCTTATTCATCATGCTTTTATCTAGGGCCTCATCAAACATCTGACAGAAATAACCACAGATTTGTAATAATGCCTCCATGTGGCCTCCTCTTTAGACTAAATTACTCTAATTACCTGTATAATGGCCACAAAAATAATCTGTGGTTTACTAAATAGTGAAGGAACCTGTTAAAAAGGATCTGTCCTTTTAGTGTCTGAAAGGTTGAGGTGCAGGGGTATTTAATTTGTGTAATATATAAGTTTATAATTATTTTTGGCCTGGATCCAATAAAAAATTATCTGAAAAATCATATTAATATAATTGCTGTGAAACTAGAGAACCAATTGCATATCTCTTCAATTATCACTTCTTCCAAATATAAAATCTATTATGTGATGTTTTCAAATGTTCTGTTTCAGTAATTCACTTTAAATATTCTAAATCAACCTAAATATTACAAATCAACCATCATTTTCCATATTTCTGATATATTGGTAGTGTCTACCTGATATGGATGAGTTTGCTTTGCTTTGCTGATTGGCAAAGTAAGATGTGTTTTGGGGTGTATTTTTCCTTTTTTCAAAGGATTTAGAATATAAAAAAGTAGTAGAAAATTAAGGATTCTGATTTTTCTTATTTGTAGATGTCAGAATGTAATTATGTACCAATGCCAACACTTAAGATGGAAGCACTAGCATGCATTTCCTTCCATATTCTGCTTGTGAACATTCTCCAGCTTTTAGATATAATCTAGAATTCTAGATAAAAATTAATATCATTAATATTAAAATAAATTAATAGTATTTAGATATACACTTTCTCTTTTAAAAGCTTATCAAAACTGTTTAAGTTTATAACCATATCGACAAACTTTACGCTCATAAAATCTGTTTTACTAGTTTTATTGCTTATTGCCAGTTCTTTTATACTATAATTTCCCTGTTCTTGAGTTCTTTACTTTTATTCATCTCTTGGCCACCTGAAATATATCTCTCAATAATTTTAAGGAATGCAAGAGAATATATTTCCTTATTTTGAAGTCTTAAGAATATCTTAAATTGCAAACTCAAATGAATGGTTTCCCAAAGTTATACAGCTAAATATTAGCAAAGCTTATTCTGAAAAGAGAAGCCTATTGATTACCAGTGCTCTTTCTGTTACATTAATGCATTTGGCTTTATAGTAAATAGGAAAGATGGGAATTTTCTGACACATGCCATACTATTGTCAGTGTGGTAAAATGCAAAGACATCTAGGTCTGGTGTGAGATCTGAGTTTGATCAAATCACTTAACTGTCTCAGAGCTTTAGATATTTTTTTTGTCTGTAAAACGTGGATGTTAATGATTACTTTTCCATGAGTAGTATTTTTAAAGATATCAAATGTTATACAAATATGAGCTATATATAATTAATACATGTTAAACAGAATCACAACATTTTAGGAATTCTTAGTCACCAGATTATAAATGGTGGTCAGTCTCTTTCAGTACAAAGGAAACTTCAAAGACATTAAATGGTTAGCCCCTCTGATATACTAAGCAGATTTGGATTGACTTTTCTAATGTAGTTTTTAAAAAATCAGTCAAAATTAAACATTGAATATTGTGATTTTTGTTAATATCTCACAAGACCTTTGGTGAGTGCAAAATCTGATAAATGACTTCTCTTTTTCTTGTTTTTAAAATCATTTTGCAGAGAGCAAACCTTTTCCCCAATAACTCCAAAACATATAGGTTAAGTAACTTGTAATTTGGTAATGTTTGCAATTTGGAAATGAAAGCCCAGGAGTGCCAAATGATAATTACTTTAACATGGATGGCTATCAGTAAATTGTGAAAAATGCATGTCTTCTGTCCAAAGTAAAATCACTCGAGAGTTAAAGTCTAGAACCTGATCTCCAAGATGGCTCAAGGAATAAAACAAAACAATAGGAATTTACCGAACAAAATGAAAAAAAAATCTACCTCAAATATCAATCCTCTCAATTAATGTGAATGGCTTGAATTGTCCTCTGAAGAGACATACACTGGCAGAGTGGATAAAGATTCACGAACATTCCTTCTGCTGCCTACAGGAAACATATCTAACCCACAAAGATGCTTTCAGGCTCAAGGTCAGGGGATGCAAAACAGTCCACCAGGCAAATGGAAATCAAAAGAAAGCAGGGGTAGCTTTACTTATTTCAGATAACATAGGTTTTAAAATAGCAAAAGTAAGAAAGGACAAAGATGACCACTATATAATGATGAAAGGGAAGATCCAACAAGAAGACTTAATAATTCTTAATATTTATGCACCCAACAGAGAAGCCCCCAGATACATAAAGCAAACCCTGTCTGATCTAAATAACATGATAAACAATAACATCATAATAGCCAGGGACTTCAACACCTCACTGAATGAACTGGACAGATCTTCTAAACAGAAAATAAGCACAAAACTAATAGACTTAAAAGAGCTCTAGAACAAAAGTGTCTGACAGACCTCTGAAGAGCATTACACCCAAATAAAGTCGAATATGCATTCTTCTCATCAGTTCATGGAACTTTTTCCTAAATTGATCATATACTATGCTACAAATCATAACTCAACAAATTTAAAAAAATATAAATAATGCCACATATCTTCTCAGATCATAGTGGTATAAAATTAGAGTTCAATTCCAACAGAAATACATACCACTTCACAAAATCTTGGAAATTAAACAATTTATTGTTGAATAACTATTGGGTAAAGGAGGAAATACAGAGAGAAATCAAAACATTATTCCAACTTAGTGATAACAAAGACACAAATTATCAAAATCTGTGGGACTCAGCAAAAGCATTCCTGAGAGGAAAATTAATATCATTAAATGTTCACATCCAAAAAGCAGAAAGCTCAAATATCAACAATCTAAATAATAGTCTGAAAGAATTGGAAAAGGAAGAGCAAATAAACTCCAAACCTAGCAGAAGAAAAGAAACAACTATCTAAGTAGAACTAAATGAAATTGAGAACAAAAGAACTACATGGAAGATCAACAAAACCAAAAGCTAGTTTTTCGAAAAGATAAACAAAATTGACAGCCCTTTTGCCAGATTGACAAGTACTCAAAGGGAATGGATTCTAATAAACGCAAGTAGAAATGAAAAAGGAGAGGTCACAACACACGCCATGGAAATACAAAATATTATCTTTGAATATTATAAAAAAACTGTATGCTACAAAACTACATAAAGTAGAGGAAATGGACAAATTCCTGGAAACATACAACCTCCTTAAGTTCACCCAGGAGGAATTACAATTTCTGAACATACCAATATCAAGCACAGAAATTGGAGCAGTAATTTTAAAACTTCCAAAAATGAAAAGCCATGGACCAGATGGCTACACTTCTGAGTTCTACCAAACATTCAAAGAAGAACTCATACCTATACTACAGAAATTATTCAACAACATTAAGAAAGATAGTATCCTCCCTAACTCATTCTGCAAAGCCAACATCACCTTGATACCAAAACCAGGAAAGGACACAACAAAAAAATAAGACTACAGACCAATATACCCCATGAATATTGATGCAAAAATCCTGAACAAAATTTTAGTGAATTGAATCCAACAGCACATCAAAAAAATAATTCACCATGACTAGGCGGGCTTTATATCAGAGATGCAAGGCTAGTTCAACATATGAAAATCGATAACTGCAATTTACTTCATAAATAAAAGCAAGAACAAAGACCATATGATTCTCTCAATTGATGCAGAAAAAGCACCTAACAAAGTCCAGCACACATTTATGATAAAAACTCTTAGCAAAGTAGGCATAGGCAGGACATAGGTTAAAATGTTCAAAGCCATATACAATAAACCCACAGCCAATATAATTCTGAATGAGGAAAAATATAAGCCATTCTCACTTAGATCTGTAACTAGACAAGGATTCCCACTATCCCTACTTTTATTCAATATAGTGCTGGAAGTCCTTGCTAGAACAATTAGACAAGATAGGGGAATTAAGGGTATCCAAATGGGGGCAGAAGGGATCGAACTCTCACTCATTGCTGATGAAATTATGTTCTATGTAGAAAACCCCAAGAATACAACCAAGAGACTCCTGAAATTGATATATGAATTCAGCAAAGTCTCAGAATACAAAATTAATACACACAAATGGGAAGCATTCTTATACTCCAACAGCAGTCAAGCGAAAACTCAAGTAAAAAATGCAATACATTTTACAATAGCCTCAAAAAAATCAAATATCTAGGTATATATTTAACAGAAGAGGTGAGATACATATACAGGGAAAACTATGAAACACTAAGAAAAGAAATTGTAGAAGATGTAAACATATGGACAAATCTACCTTGCTCATAAATTTTCTCAATCAAATGTCCATACTACCTAAAGTGATCTACGGATTTAATGCAATCCCTATCAAAGTACCA